GAGAAAGGTTAATAACGAGAGGAATAACCGTAGTTAAGCTGAACTGTGATGATCCAAATACTGAATCACACGGTCTCATTCGCCGTTAAAAATAACTGATTTTGGAATTTAAAAGCCCATTATATTAAACGTTCAAGTAAATGTATTAATTCATATGCTAGTTAGAACCTTTTTGGATAAGTTCCATTAATGAGCAAATGAAAATGACAAATTTTATGATAAATCTACTGCTGATCATGATGAAACATTCAATAGATAAATGAAATACTTAGTACACAAGTAAATTCTCAAATGGTAAAGGAAAATAATTTTGCAAACAGAATTTTTTTCAGATTACTTAAATCCAAAAAAAAAATCTGAAATATCGCTAAACAATTTCGGGTAAGAATTCTTACTTTAATGATATATTTGGCATAATATAAAGTGTCATGGAAGTCTTAATAATATGAGAATCAATTGTGGAAAGAGCTTCTTGATTTTTTCTGGAAAAAAAAATTAAAATGATGCATTATGGTAACTGTGACTGAAGTTGCCTACTTATGCAATCATAAATCCCAATTCAATGAAATAAGCACTAAACGAGGAAGCAATCAAATTATATATTGGAAAAATCAAGATATGTTTAAAATGTAACACTTTCGGAACCAATAAATAAGATGAGAAGTGAGGTACTGCAATACTTTCAGCATTATTTGTTCCTGAAATCTAACGAGGGATCTAAGGATAACAAACATCTGTGAGCAAATCCAAATGTAAGTATCGCCTTCTGTCGCAGAATAGCTGATTGAGGAGATAAGACGAAATCATATTCGGTTTTCAATTATTTATTCTTATTGCTAAATAGTACACAATGAAAGTCACCTGGAATATCATCGTCTTCTATGATGTCCTCATTGCTCGACTAATTCGGCTGAACTACTTGAACTGATCCATTTTAACCGGAAAAACCATCAAAGGGGAGATAGTAAGCGAGTGAAAACAGATAGGAAAGACAGATATTTTGTGAATCAGAATAATGAACGATAGTGTTACCAGTCCTGACATTAAGTGAAGAGAAAGTTCAATTCTGAGTTGAAACGATGCATAGCAAAAGATTGAACCAAATGATGTGATGTATGCCATCGATATAGTGAAGAACAAGGCGTAGTGCAGAATTTCTGAAATGGCATTCGCAACTAAACGAATATTAAAATCAATGAATGTACTTTGTTAGTTCCAAACATTCAAAATGCTCTTCGTAATTATCGTTAAATGTTAATCTCTGATGTTTTACGCGAAATTACCTTTTCAAAACGCATACACACATATACATGCATATATATACATGCAGCATGCACGCATGTGTACATACATGCGTGCATGCATACATACATACATACATCCATACATACATCATACATAGATATATACATATATACATGCACGTACACATACGTACGTACATACATACATAATCCCTTCTCAGGGGGAGGAGGGGAGAAGCTTACGTGGCCCAAATGAGCTTATGGTTTATGCTTTCGATACTGCGTGGCGTATGCCTTCGATAATTGAAGGGTCAAACAAAGTGTGTCCACGGATAGGATAGGCTCTCTAGCCCCTCAGCCAACCATTCCAGAACAATTGTAACTCCATACCCTGGCAGATGGAACTCGTTAAATCATATAAAGTTATCCATGTATGAGAAGAATACTCTAACAAAACAAACATTCTAAAGACTTCGATGTCACTATCATATCTTGCTAGGCTCCAGCATCTTAGATGACTAGGCCCTAGCATCTTAGATGACTCTAACAAAACATCCTAATGATGCCGGGAAAGCCAATCTGTTGAATTCGTTTCTCAGTGATATATAGATTTATTCAGGATGTAATATTGTTCTTGCACAATATTACTAGTAAACAATAAAGAAAGATGTAAAAAGTATATATATGTATTACATGATAAATTGATAAACAATGATAAGTTATACAAAAGCAAGCAATATGATCTATGATCAATTAACAAATTCCTTATCGTTGCTTTCGATAATAATTTGACTGTCGTATTTAGCGAATAGAAAGAATATCGTTGTTGTCCAATGGTGATGGGATATGCGAAGATATCGTTGTTTGTGGTTCAGCCGTTAAAATGCACAAATACGACACGCTTCGATAATATCAGATTGTTAATATTTTCTGATATTTCTCAAACAAGATATTTCAAATTTAATTTTGGTAAAAATTTGTAAGTGATACTTTGAAAAATCTTTTCTGATTTGTATAATACCGTGAAATGCAATGAAGCCAATAATGGAAATAATTGCCTGCTTTAAAAGTCTTTAAAAAATTCAAGTCCTAGCATAAATCATTTTTCATCCTGTTTAGCCTATCATAAATTACATAAATTCTAATCGTAGTTAGCCAATCATACATTACATGAACTTAAATCCTATCTGACCAATTACGAAATTATATCAATTTAAAGTTATATGAGAATAAATAAAAAACAAACATATATCTTAAGCTAAAGATATTACTTTTGATTGTTAATATTATTGAAGTTTTTGCTGTCAAACATGAAACAACATCATTATTGTGACCTATGTGAAACAGTGGGATAAAATGGAATTATTGTTGTTAACAAATAAAGGTAATGCTCAATACCTTGGCTTAGTAGTAAAGGTGACTTTCAGCTAAGCTATTCAGGTTATCATTCTCCAACGTTCTCAGTATGCTTCTTATAGATTAATTTTTTTTTTTCCAATAAATGAATGAGCACACAAACAAATACATATACACGCACACACACATACACACACACACACACACATATGTATACTCAGTGCTAACAA